GTATTTGGTACATATAAAATGAGGATTGTGAAGTAAAATGATGAAGTAGTGACTATCTCTAATGTTGGTTTTTGCCTTAAAATTAATTTTGTCTACTACTGTTATAGATACATCAGCTTTCTTTTGGTTAGAGTTTGCTTATTGTATCTTTTTCCATCCTGCATTTCGCCTAGGGAGACAAGACTCGTGTCCCTGGAGGCTCATTTTCCTCATATGTTTGGTGTCTTAGCAGAGAACCAGCTTGGTGGGTCTCAGCTCACAGGAAGAACAGGCTGATATCAGCCAGGGGGCTCCAGTGGCTCCCCTCTTCTTAACACGGTCAATTCCTTAACCAAGAAGTTTCCATTGTGACATAATTGCCTAGATGCATGGGGACCAGGTCCCTCTCAATGGGAACACTGCTGCTTGGCGGATCATGAGTATTTTGCTGCTAACCTGCTTGAAAGAGTAATAATAATACTCATAAATCTTACTTGATATTTATGCTGTGTAGTCCTTGGGTATTTGTGTCTGTGTTGGTCTGACAGTTGTCAGCTTTTTAGTGTCCTTTTGTTTTAGTTGGAGGAGCCTTGGTGGCACAGTGGTTAAGCACTCAGTTGCTAACCAAAAGGTCTGCAGTTTGAACCCACCAGCCACTCCTTGGAGAAAGATTTGGCATTCTGCTTCTGTAAAGATTTACAGCCTTGGAAACCCTGCGAGGCAGTTCTGCTGTGTCTCATAGGGTTGCTATGAGTTGGAATCGACTTGATGGCAGTGTTTTTTTTTTTTTTCTGTCTGATGTGTTTTAGGTGTGTCCTTGTAAGTGGTAGACATAGCTAGAGGTTTAGTTTTTCTTTATTTTTTAATTGTTGTGCTTTAAGTGAAAGTTTACAATTCAAATTAGTCTCTCATGCAAAAATTTATAAATACATTGTTATGTGACCTTAGTTGCTCTCTCTAGACTGTGACAGCACACTTCTCCCTTCCACCCCGGATTTCCTGTGTCCATTCAACCAGCTCCTGACCCTCTCTGCCTTCCCATCTCGCCTCTGGACAGGAGCTGTCCATTTAGTCTCGTGTATTTACTTGAGCTAAAGAGCACACTCTTCACGAGTATCATTTTATGTCCATAGTCCAGTCTAATCTTTGTGTGACAAGTTGGCCTCGGGAATGGTTTTAGTTTTGGGTAACAGAGAGTCTGGGGGCCATGTCTTCTGGGTCCCTCCAGTCTCAGTCAAACCATTAAGTGTGGTCTTTTTACTAGAATTTGAGTTCTGCGTCCCAGCTTTCTCCTGCTCTGTCAGGGACTCTGTTTTGTTCCCTGTCAGGGCGGTCACTTGTGGTAGCCGGGCACCATCTAGTTCTTCTGGTCTCAGGCTGATGAAGTCTCTGATTTATGTGGCCCTTTATGTCTCTTAGGCTAATACTTTCCTTGTGTCTTTGGTGTTCTTCATTCTCCTTTACTCCAAGCGGGTTGGGACCAATTGATGCGTCTTAGATGGCCGCTTGCTAGCTTTTAAGACCCCAGATGTCACTCACCAAAGTGGGATGCAGAACATTTTCTTAAAAAACTTTGTTATGCCAGTTGACTTAGATGTCCCCTGAAACCATGGTCCCCAGACCCCCACCCCTGCTACTCTGTCTCTCGAAGTGTTTGGTCGGAGGTTTAGTTTTTCTATCTTTTGTTTTTTAATAAAAAAAGATGTAGCTCATTTACATTGATTGTGGTTACTGATGTTTTTTGGATTATGTCTACTGTCATTTTGTGCTTCCTGTACGTTCTTTTTGTTGTTGGGTTGTTGCTGTTTTATTTTTTTCTCCTGTCTTGCCTTTTTTTGGGGGTCAACTTTTTGCTTTTTTCTTCCCTCATTCCATTTTATCCCCTCTATTAATTTGAATGTTATATATCCTATTTGTAATTTTTTGGGGTTATCCTACAGTTTTTTTTATTTTATTTTTTATTTTATTGTACTTCAGGTGAAGGCTTACAGAACAAATAGTTTCTCATGAAACAGTAGTACACATGTTGTTTTATGACGTTGGCTAACAACCCCACAACATATTAACCCTCTAACTTCTCAACC